TAATATAAAATATTTTTAAAATACAGCATTGAAAGAGGTGTTTGCAATGGAGGCAGGAGGCATTAAGAAGCAAGATCTATGTAGAATCCTGTGGCTGCTGAAGGTGAACTTTGCTCACCAGACCCTCTGACCGCCAGCATCTACGACATATAATTATATTGGGCCCAAGTCCTTAAGAGGTTAACAGACGCTTGCCTTATGGACAATTTTAACCAGGTAAAGATAATCTTTTCTTCATCTTCCATGAGTCATATAAGGCCTGTTTTTTTTAATCAATTTCAAGTTTCCTACAAAGAAATTTTTACCACTCTAAAAATATATTAATTCTGTCAGGTGTGGTCGCCCTTAATACCAACTCTTGAGAGGAAGAGGCAGGTGGATCTCTGTGAAGTCGAGGCCAGCCTTGTCTACATAGAGAATTCTAGGGCAGCTGGGGCTACAGGGAAACCAAATATATATGTATATATACATATATATTATGTATATATAATCACTCAGTATCCTTGCCCCTTGAAGTTCGAACTTCCCTTGCATTCTTTGGGACACTGAACAAGAACGATATATGAACTCCTGCCTATCTAGCTACAATTCCTAAAATCCCCAATGAAATCCTCTTATAGAAATTCAAATTGACATTGTGCTCTGCTTGCTGAATGGATTTCCAAATGTTGGCTCTTGTTCGAACTTCCTAATAAACCTGTGCTCACTTGGCATGGTGCCTGTAGCTCTTTGAACTGTCTGTTAGCCTGCCTGCCCATCTTTCCTATCCTCTTCCCCAGAACCACTGTAGCTGCTCAGAAAAGCCGTGTCCAGGTTTTTGTGTGAGTCAGGCTGTCATTACTTGAAGGCAGGAGCACAGCATGCAGAGATGACCATCTGCTCTTCAATTGCATTTGGGTGAGAAGGAAGAGGAGGAGGAAGAGGAGGAGGAAGAGGGAACAATGCTGGAGGAGAAATGGAGTCCTTGAAGGATTTCATCAAGTCTGGTGGGCATAGTGGGGGCTCCCATCTTGATATTGTCCAAATCAGACCCTTGATCCGTTACCAGGAGTCAAAGTTGTGGGGAAACCTTCTCTGCCCCTCCTCCCATCAAGGAATCCACTAAGGACAAAAGGAGATATAAAAAGCCTATACACCAACAAAGAGCAACTCTATTATTATTAATAATATTAATTAATTTATTTATTTATTTATTTTGAGACAAAGTCTCTCCATCTAGCCCTGGCTGGCCTGGAACTCACTATATAGACCAGGCTGGCCACAATCTCACAGTTCTCTTGAGGCAAAGGCTGGAGGATTTCTTCCAGTTCCAAGCCAACCGAAGCTACATAACAGAATCTGTCCAAAAAAAAAAAAAAAACAGGTGTGGTGGTGGTGGTGGTGCACATCTTTGATTTGATCCCACTCAGGAGGCAGAGGCAGTTGGATCTCTGTGAGAGATCCTAGTCTAAATAGCAAGCTCCAGGCCAGCTGGAACTACAGGGAGACTCTGTCTTTAAAAAAGAACAAAAACATCAGGCATGGTGGCACAAGCCTTTATTCCCAGAACTCGGGAGGCAGAGGCAGGCAAATCTCTGTGAGTTCAAGGCCAGCCTGGTCCACATAGTGAGTTCCAGGAAAGCTGGGGCTACAGGGACACCCTGTGTCAAAAAAACCAAAAAAAAAAAAAAAAGAACAAAAACAAGGGGCTGGAGAGATGGCTCAGCAGTAGGGAGCACTGGCTATTCTTGCAGAGGACCCGGGCTCAAATCCCAGGACCCACATGGTGGCTAACAACCTTTTGTAACTTCAGTTCCAGGAGATCTGACACCCTCTTCTGTCCTCTGTGGTCACTGCATGACATAGGTGCACTCATGCACATGCAGGCATAACACATAAAATAAAAATAAATTTAAAAAAAACAAAAAGAACAATAATAACAAAAAGAACAACCCCTCTCCCCAAGCAAGTACCCCTTGAACCTCAAACCTGAGACCCTTCTATATGTGCCTGTCAAACCAGGGGAGGTTAAGGTGGGAAAATGGATAGTATGAGGCCAGCCAGGGCTAGATAGTGAGAATTTGCCTCAAAATAACAAAAATCAAGCTAAATAAACAAAAAGGGAGAAAAAGATGAAGGAAGGAAGGAGGGAGGGAGGGAGGGAGGGAATGAAGGAAGGAAGGAAGGAAGGAAGGAAGGAAGGAAGGAAGGAAGGAAGGAAGGAAGGAAAGGATTAAGTGTGCACTGTTCTTCCACAGCTCTTATCAAACATCAGGTCAGAGGAAGAAATTATTTGTATCTAGAAGCTTTTTGGTTCTTGCCTTGAGGCATAGAAGATTGGTCCACAGCTGAACTTGTCCATGACCATGGGTGTTCTAGACGGGGGGGACTTCAAAAAAAAAGTGGCAAGCCAGGCTTGTTGCTGCACATCTGAAATCACAGCACTCAATTAGAGTAGGCATCAGGTTCACTACATAGGGAGTTCAAGACTATCCCAAGCAATGAGACCCTGTCTCTAAAATCAAAAAGAGGAGAAAATCTGGGCATGTTGGTGCACATCTTTAATTCCAGCAAAGGCAGGCAGATCTCTGTGAGATTAAGGCCAGTCCAGGCTACATAGCAAATTCCAGGCTAGTTGGGGTACAGGGATACCTAGTCTCAAAAAAAAAAAAACTGGAAGGAAGGGAGGGAAGAAGGGAGGGAGGGAGGGAGGGAGGGAGGGAACAAAGGAACAAGTTACCCTCAAAGCAGAGATAATCAAATTCTGACAGTACAGTAACATCCATCATTAGTTTAGACAATCATAAATCTGATTAATGTTTCTTGATTATTTTTTTCTTGAGACAGGGTCTTCTCTAGCTCAGGTTGGCCTCAAACTCACTACGTAGCTGGGGATGATAACTTTAATTTATGGTCCTCTTGCCTCCATCTCCCAAGTGTGGGGATTACAGGCATGCCTCACAATCATGCCTGGCTTTTGTGGTTCTGAGGACTGAGCTCAGGGCTTCATGAATGCTAGGCATACACTCTACCAATGGAGTTACATCCCTAGTCCCTGACTAATGCTTCTTGATCTACTAGGTACCAGGCACTGTGCCAGGCTCGCCATCAAGGATACAGCAGCCTACTTGAGAACAAGCCATTGTTATATGCTGTAGAAAGTCTCAGGAACCAGGCACTACATTTGATCCCAGCAGAGGAAGCAGAAGCAGGCTGATCTCTGTGAGTTCTGGGCCAGCCATGCTACACAATGAAACCCTGTCTCAAAAAACCAAAACAACATACAAAGAAGAGGAGGAGGGGATCTGACAGGAGGAAGACTAGGGAGGTGAAGGGCATGAAAGAAGTCAGCTTAGTTTGGGGAACATGGAGGAAGGTTTGGAAAAGATGATGCCTAAAATGAGTTAGAATGTTCAACAATTAGCAAAGAAGAGAGGAAGGGTGCTTTAGTAGGTGAACAGCACTGAAAAAGGCATGCAATGCATTCTGGGAACTTTCTGTTTCAGCAACCAAAGCTCAGGACAGAGAAGGAAGTGGTGAGAATCACTAGAAAGGTAAGGAAGGCCTGTGTCCTGGAGGGGTACAACGACCTTGTTCTAGAGGGTTTACAAGGCTTCAAACAGCAGGTGAGAGAAGCTAATTTACATTCTAGAAAATGCCCTAGCAGGCAAAGTGGTACACATTTGTAATCCCAGTTACCTGGGAGTCTGTGACAGGAAGATTGAGTTCAAGGGCAGATTGGACAATTTTCCAAGCCCCTGTCTCAAAATATAGTAGAAAAGAAGAAAGGAATGAAGGGAGGGAGGGAGAGAGGAGGGAGAGAGAGAAAGGAAGGGGGGGAGGGAAAGCATTGGGAGATGTCAGTCCAGTGGTAAAGCACATACTTAGTATTACTGAGACCCTGGGTTCAATCCCCACTACTACCAAAAAAAAAAAAAAAAAGGTGGGGGATGAGACAGAGCCCTTGCTAAGCAGTCACGAAGACTAGAGGTCAGATCCCAGCATTTTAGCTCTAAGGGATATGATGCCATCTTCTGGCCTCCAGGCAAATACACACACACACACACACACACACACACACACACACACACAAGGGGAAAGGGGGATTCGTGTAGCGTCAATCAGATACATACATACACATAAATAAATCTTTAAAAGGGGGTTGTTGGTGGTGAGATGGCTCAGTAAAGTACTTGCTGCCAAACCTGACGACCTGCGATTGATCCCCAGGATGAGCTGACTCCCAAAAGTTGTTCTCCATACAACTCCATAGCACCCACCCCCACCACACTCCCTATATACACAAATAAATAATTTTTTTTTGAGACAGGGTCTTCCTGTAGCCCCAGCTGACCTAGAACTCGCTATGTAGACCAGGCTGACCTTGAACTCAGAAAGATCTGCCTGCCTCTGCCTCCAAGTGCTGGGATTAAAGGGTGAGCCACCACGCCTGACAAATAAATAAAATTTTAAAAATTTAAAAACTGATTGTGTGGGGCGGGGGTAAAACTCCCTGTGGCCTAGTATGGTGATTTAGCTATGTTAGGACATACAGGCCAGAAGGGGGTGTCTTATGGTGCCTAAGTCATCACACCAAACTCTCTGGAGAGGCTGGAGAGAGACTCTAGCTCTACTGAGTCACTAGCTCCCGTGTCCCTGGGGACAGATAGGTACCTCACAAACCCTGCAAGTTTTTAGAAAAACCAGGCTGAGAAATGCTGGAGGCCCAGATTTATATTGTATGGACAGAGCCCTTTGAGGGAGCCCACAGGAAAAGCAGACAGACCCTGCTGGGTGTCAGGCAAAAGCACTTTGGGTGGAGGCTGAAGGGAGAGATAAAAACCCCTCACCTTGTCAGGGGAAGGGGTCCCTCATCCTAGGTGAGGCAAGAGACTCAAGAACTCTGAAGCAAATGTCACTTATGTCCTCCCTCCCATTCTCCCAGACAAAGCCACTGGATTCTGTGGTCCCTCCGGAAGGCCAGTCATTTCCTGAGGAGATATCAGGCCAGCCCAGACCCCATTGTTCAGGGTTTCCAGCCATGGCCGCCATTACCTGACCAGCAAACAGCACAAGAGTTGTCTCTGTGGGAGCCTAGAGAAGTTTTCAGAGTAGTTTGTGCTATCCACTGGGTAGGTTTCTCATCTTCAAGTAGGAAGCTGCTTCTGCCCCCTCCCCCTGCCCCCGGGGCATGGCCAGAAGGCAGAACTAACTGTGTGTGTCCCTCAGCCCTCAGCCTTGGCTCTCAGGATGCAGCAGAGGTGGGCCCCAGTCAGCAAGATGCGGCCAGCAGCCCTGCTCATGTTGCTGTTCTGTGAGTTTTTAACTTTCTTCCTACTTCTCTAATTCCATGAGACTTGAAGTTGTGAAATCAACAGAATTTTTTTCCTCCTCTCTTTTCCAGGTTCAAGCCTCAAGGCTCAAGAAAACTGTAAGTCCTTATGTTTTTACCTAATTTCATTCATTATGTCTGTTCTGAGATTCTTAAAACTTGTGTCAAATTGTTTGGGGTTGATGTTTAAAACAATTGAGAGAACTATTCCAGTGGAAAACTAAAGTGTATTCCATCTTGGCATTTTTAGAAGAGTTTGGATCAAATACTTGTCCTAAATCAAGTTCTAAAGGATGTTTTAGAAATAGCCTTTTAGAAGAACATTCCAGAAAACAGTTTTAGATCTTGGTGGATTGCTGTTCATTGGAATTAGAGAGATGATTTTTTTTTTAATTCCATAATTTGTTGTGGTTGTTCGATCATAAATTGCTTGCTTTTGCATCATCTCCAATTGTTTACTCTCAAGCTTTTTCTTTGTTGGGCCAGGTTTGGTGGCCATAATCCCTGCACTTGGAAGGTAGAGGCAGGAGGATCAGGAATCAAGGTCAGCCTCGACTATATAGTAAGTTTGAGGTCACTCTGAGCTACGTGAGACCCTATCTGAAAATAAAACAAAACAACCAAAAAAAATTGTTTCCTTTCCATTTTTTTAATTCACAAATGAGATACAGTTGACTTGGCAGACTCATGAAGACAGACAGAACATAGTGTAAATTAGTATCATAACTTTTTTTCTCCTACATGATTAAAAAAAAAAAAAAGACGGGATTTCATTTTCCACCCACCTAGGAGATTATATTTTTGAGATCTTTTGTCCTGGCCCCCAGGGAAAGGGTACCACCAGTCTTTGAAGTCTGGTCATCATCCACTTAAGAGCTGATTTTTGAACCTCTCTATTGAGATAAGGGGGATTGTTCTGCTTGTCAGGGGTTCTGTGAAGAAAGTAGCTCAGCAGGGTTTAGGCACAGTGGATGGGGAGAGGCCACAGATTGCAATCTCTGTCAAAAGTCGCTTCAGTGTACAAAAAATAGGAGCTCTGGGTTACAGATCATACAGCTCACATCAAGTATATAGACAAGGTTGGGTTGAGCCACAGATGGAGCGGTGGCCCCAGGGTGGGGAGGGCTGGTGGAGCCACCAGAAGAGTCTGTTCTGTGAGTCTTTGATTCACTGTCCATGTGCTTCCTCAGGCATCTGACCCCAATGGAAACCCTTCAAATCATTCCCACTTCATGATGATATCACCAAGGCTTAGAAAGGACTGACTTGGTTCCAAGAGTTAGCAGGGGCAAAAGCACTAGGACTACGGATACACAAGACCCAGACATCTGTTTGGAGCCTGTGTTTTGCTTTGTTTAGTATTGTTTTGTCTTGCTTGGCTTTGTTTTGCTTTGTTTGAGACAGTTTCCCACTGAGCAGAAGCTGGCCTTGAGCTCACTCGGTAGCCCAGGCTGTCCTCAAACTCAAATTCTTCTCGCCTCAGCCTCCCTAGAGCTGGGATTACAGTTGTGTGTCCCCAACCTCTAGTGTCACTCACATCTTTAAATCCAGTTTTGTTTTTGTTTGGCCTCTTGGAGCTTTTCCCCCAGGCTGTAAAATGGAAATTGTTAATTGGACCTGTTGCCAGGAGTACCTTAAGGTTGAGATTGGATGAAAAGAGGGGACTTAACCTGCTCTGTCTTCAATGGTGAATAAATGATGTAAAGATGTTCACTACCAGGCCTAGGGTCCACCTTACAATGATAACTTCATTCACCTCATTCCCCTCTCTGAGATGGGTTTTCATGTAAGCCAGGCTGGCCCCAGACGCACTATGTTGCCTGAGATAGACATTGAACTTCTGATCCTCATGCGGCAGAGATGATAGGCCTGGCCCACACCCAGTTTATGCAGTGCTAGGGATGGAACCCAAGGCTTCTGGCATGCTAGGTAGCCACTCTACCAACAAGCTACATCCCTAGCCCCCTCTTATCTCTTCTCTGGATCCTGCCCTACCAAAGCCAGAGAGTTCTGGTTCCTCACACTTCCCATACCATTTCCTAGCACACCATTTTCCCAACTCTTTCTCCTCTAGAAAGCAGCTGGTCCCTTCCTTGGGCTCCAGGAGAAGGTCCTTTGTTCCTTCAGGGAAGATTGTGAAACTACACTTCCTCAGACCTCAGCTTTACATTCCTGTGCAGGGTCAACACTAGAAGTAAGAAGCTTGGGGGGGTCTCCACTCCCCAGGCCACCCAAGATGGGTATTCTAAATGGGTATTCCATGTTGAGTCAGGGCCTCGGTGAGTTAGGGCCTGGGCCAACCTTAGCCCTTCTTCTCTGTCTGGCTCCTGGACCACCTCCAGCTCACCCAACCCCTGCCTGCGTCTACTCCTCTCAGGAGATGACTTCAACTCCATCTTCACCTAGAAAACAGCAGGCCTGGAGGGAACTCCCTTGACTTCCTGCCTGTTCCTGGCTGCTGGCTTATCTGTCTCCCCACCCATCCTCCTGGCTTCCCTCCTGGTTTCAAGGCACATGTCCACCCCATGGCTGATCAGGGCTTAAGGGGTCCTCTGGGCCCTGAGCCCATCCCTCCCTTACCACAGGACATCTTTCTTCATTCAATTTCCCCACTCTCCACTTTTGAGAATCTCTGCCTTTGCCTTTTCTCAGCCTACAAACCCAATAGGCAACTGGTTTTTGTTTTTTTTTTTTCAGGAAGAAAGAAAAAAATCACAGACAAACTACCCACTCCTCCATATTCCTTGTGCTGCCCTTCCCCCACCCCCCACTTCCTTTCCCAGTGGAACTTTGACATCAGTTTAGTACGGCTGGTCTCTGCTTCCTCCCTTCATGGTGTCCTCATTTAACAGCTAAGCAGGACCTTGTCTGAAATCTTCATTCCCTAAAGGATCAGCAGAGACCTTCAGATGTCTGAGTCCTAGCGCATTACTGAATGAAACTTTGCTACATACCCTGGAGCCTTCTTCTCTGACCTTCTAGAGCTTCCCTGTTTTCTCTTCCTAAAAACAAACCTTCCTTCTCCCCACAGGGAGACTTTGACTCCTCTCTGGGTCAAAATCCAGCACCCCTCACCTCTCCCGTCCCTTCAAGCTCCATGGTCTAGTCTTTCTGGAGCCTCTCTCTTCTCAGCCTCCTGGGTCTGTATCCCTGCACTGGCCTCTCCCCTGAAGCTCAGACTTAACCCAAGGCAGATAGCTGCATCTCCTGTTTATCCTCCAGGCATTTCAGATGCCGTCTCATCACTGGGACTTTGTTTCGTCTTACCTATTTTTTTCTGGCACTCTCTATTTTAGCTGGAATTTCCTATATCCTCTTGGGAACTTAACTTCCCTCTTTTCAGGTTCTATATATCCAATAAAACAAGGCATTGAAAAATTATGGTAAAATATAAATGATTTGGGGCTGGAGAGATGGCTCAGTGCTGCTTTTGCATAGGACCAGGGTTGGATTCTCAGCACCCACGTGGTGGCAAACAACCATCTGTAACTCCAGTTCCAGGGGATCCGACGCCCTCTTCAGGCCTCTGTGGGCACTGCATGCATGTGGTGCACTTATACATGTAGGCAAAACACTCATGCATCAAATAAAAATAAAGTTTTTAAAAAATATATAAACAATTTATATTTTATTATTAGTGACATCTAGTGTATTCACAGCGTTAGTAAATATCAGCATCATATAGTTTTAGAAAATTTCCATTACTTCAAAAGTTAAGTCCTTTTGGTCCCTTTGAGAGTCCCTCCTTTGCTCTTTGGCTCAGCTCCACCTGCCTGCCCAGCCTGGCTTCAGCAACTTTTACCCGAACCACCTAAATGTGTTCACTGGTCCAGGGGACTGGGGCCACAATGATCTCTCTTTTTTCATTTGTTTGCTTTTTGAGACAGGGTCTCTCAGTAGTCCCAGCTGGCTTGGACCAGGCTGGCCTTGGTCCAGAAATCATCCTCCCATTGCCTCCTGAGTGCTTGGAATTAAAGGCATGCACTACGGTGTGCCCAATCACAGTGATCTTTCTAAGACACTAATCCAGTCTAACGTCTCCAGCCTGATCCATCCGATCTCCCTTCCCCCACCTGTGCTTCCTATAACTGGCCATGCCCAGAACACACAGGTTTCTCACACCCTGGGTGCCCTGGTACATGCTGTTCTTCTGGAGTACCCACTCCATCCCAGGGGCACTTCCTCCACACTGACCTTGACCTCTCCTCAGGCTGACATATGGCCTACTGGGTCTCTAACCAGCCTGCACTATCTTGGACAATAGATATAATTTCTTATTTTTCCCAGAAGCCCTGTACTTGATACAGGTGTTGGATAAATGTCATGTAGATGTGGGTGTGGTGTCACAGGCAGGCAGATGTCCATGAGTTCAAGGCCAGCTTGGTCCACATAGCAAGTTCCAGGCCAGCCAAAGGTACTTAGTGAGACCCTGTTTTAAACAAACAAACAAACAAACAAAAAGAAAAAAAACCCAGGACTGGGGATGTGGCTCAGTGTTAATCTAGTATGTATGGAGTCATGCATGCTAGGTTTGATCTCCAGCAGTATATAAATTGGGCACGCCTGTAATCCCAGGACTTGGGAGGTGGAAGCAGGAGGATTTTAAATTCAAGCTCATTCTTGGTTACACAGTGAGTTCAAGACCAGCTGGGCTACATGAGACCCTGTCTTGGACAAACAGGGTAAAAAGAGATGGGGTCTGATGTAGACCAGGCTGGCTTTGAGTTCTCTATATGTCTAAGGATAACCTTGGAACTCCTGATCATCCTACTTCCTACCTCAGCCTCCCAGCTGCTGAGATTATAGACTTGTTCCCACATGCCCAACTCTGGGTGCTCCTTACCTATTGCTGCTTTACATATTTTACTTATTTTTATTTTATGTGTATGAGTGTATTGCCTGCATGTATGTAAGTACATCCATGTCATGCAATGCTCAAGGAGGTCAGAAGAGGGCATTGGGTTCTGTTGGAACTAGGATTACCTGATGGTTGTTAGCTGTCATGTGGGTGCTAGGATTCAAACCCAGGTCCTCTGGAAGAGCAGTCAGTGCTCTTAACCTCCAAGCCATCTCTCCAGCCCCCTATTGCTGCTTTAAAA